AGCGTTTAAAACACTGATCCAATTTAGATAAACCGGGTGTAAAACGATTTATATTTACGAGGCGGATGAAAGACAGACAATCTAAGCAGGAAAAAAATATATAATTCTCAATGTTGTGTGAAAAGGTTTCTATAAAAGTTAATTTGTCGAAATTGCCTAAATTAAAAATGTATATAAAAAAATGCTTGCACTGTCTGGTAATGAATGACTATAATGCGAAATACACACGGTGTTAATAAATCTATTGTATAATTATTAAATAAAGTATTTTAAATCTTCGATATCACTAGTGATGTCACCTATAATTATAGGTAACATCCGTTAAAATGTGATAACACGTTGCTATTATAATGTATTAACAAATTATAATTAAATATTTTAACATATGCTTATCAAATATGTTATCGGCTTCTATATTTAGAACACTTGAAAGGTTGGTTGAACATAGATTATGAGAAATGGGAATTGTGTATTAATTTGTAAAAACATTGATCTACTTATAGATTCTAATTGATTGGATGGCGTTTTACAAAACAGTGTAATGGATGGATACTTAAATATTTTTCATATGTGGCAAGATGGCACTACATAAATTAAACATCGAAAATAAATTGAAAAAGTCCTGCTTGAGTTATAATTTTTTCAATTTATTTTCGATTTTTAATTTAAACAGTGATATTTCAATTATGTCGATAGAAAAAATTAAATGTTTGCCGTCTGGTAGTGTCAGTTAAAATGAAGACGTGAATGTTTCCGTTTTGCATTTTTGAAATATTGGAATGATTGGGGAATAATTTTGCGAACGAAATTGCTTTAATCAACATCAAAGTACTCTTTAAGTGGTACAGTGCCTTTAGTCGGACCAGAATCACCCAAAAGCGCCTACCCCCCCGGTGGCTGGCAAAACCAAAACGTCCGCAGACGAAGTGACGTTTCTGACGGGAATCTTAAAACTTTTGACAATTGACGTTCTGACAATCTTAAAACGGTTGACTTGGGTCAATTGTCACTCTTAATGGAAATGGATTATGGCTTTCTCATTCTAAATGGAATCTACCAATGTAGTGTGTCCATAAGAGGAATGACACGCGTGATAGTATAAATTATTATTGGTTTTTCGTTTTCAAATCACGGTATTAAAAATAAAAAAGAAATATTTTAGACAAAGGTTTTTCTTACAACATTCATTGATTCGTTGTCGTAAACTTGTCAATTTACATTGTCTTATCTCCCTCCGTCTTTCGTACTTTTGATCAGGTATTGTGTACTGATGCGAGTCTGAAATTATTTACCCATTTCAATAAAAGTGTAAATAAAGTTTTTACTTTCATAAAAAAAAACTGTTACGTAGGTAGAATTGACGATCAAGTAACAAATAAAGTTTAAGGCACTGTACATAAAAAAAATCTATCGGTAGACAGAGCAAAAACACGGTATACAATTAATCGTAAGTTCGTTTCCCGCCTATGCCACCGAATATTTCTTTAAAAAAAAATCGATGGCATAGGGTGAGATGAAGAATTCTATACTCTACAAAGAATCTATAAAAAGGATTAACTGCCTAGATATTTGTTATTTATGGTTATGATCCAAAATAACAGTAAAATCCATTTAGATATCGAGCTTAATCGGTCTCATGACAGACTAATATTTTGAAGGTTAAAGTTGTAAATATGGACGTATGATATGTATGATTTGGATAGACGTGACTTTGAAAATACTAATTAATTGTACTACTAATAGTCATTAGTTGTACAATTAATTTCATCTTACCAAACTTGCGCTGGATAGCGTTAGAGAGCAAGAAACCATTGGGTTTAAATAAAACACTTTGATTTTTTTTATTTATTCTAACTACGACCTGACGTATCGGATGCTTTGCTATGATAATGAGGAATAATAATATATCACGTTTAAAGCGTCACAAAGTTAAAAAAAAATTACGAACATACAAACAATATTTAAAACAATTATATTGTCAAAAAGAAATCATAAAATAAGCAAATTAATCAATCTAGCGTCTGTAGTTTACGCGACTAGTACACGTTTAAAATAAAACACTTTAACGGTTTAAAACGCGATATATTGTTTAACCTATTTGAAAATGATTTTAACTTCGGCCCGACGTTTCGGATGCTTTGCACCAGCCGTGGTCACGGGTCTCCCCGTTAAAGTGTGTACTACTCGCGTAAACTATAGACAGTATTTTTAAATTTTCTTAAATTCGTGGGAATTTGTCTGGAAATCTGGATATTAAATGACTGGTAGGAATATGTCATAATATATCTCCGGCTCGAAGCCGTTGTTGTAACATCGAGGTAAGTGGGCAGATGGCAAGTGGCAAACATCACTCAATCAATAGTTAAGAAATACTTCAACCGAATAAGAATAACCACTTCAGTCGCTAGTCTGATCATTATTAATACGCGTTTATAAATAGTGTAAAGTTGAGTTATGTGTTTGCGCGTGCGCAGATTAATTATCAGCGATTCGAAGAACGCTTATATACATACATATAATAATTTATATGACATTAGCCTTTATGTTCACTTGTAACATTATTTAAGTAAAACTCTTAAATTAAGTTAGGGCCGTAGTTTAGTTATACTAGACAATTGAAAACTTTAATATTTTTCACATGCACATGATAAATTTAAAATTATTTTAGATTGAAAAAAATAACGGCACGGACAGGATTTGAACCGGCATCCCCAGCGTCATCTATACGTACAAAAAATTCTGTTTGGCGTGTAGGACACGGTAGCTCAATTAGTTAAAGGCACAATGCTGTCTTTGCCGGTTCAAGTTTTGCTCGTGCCGTAATTTTAATTTTTCATCTTTAATTAATTTTATGTAGATATTAATAGGAATACAATAGAAAAATGACACGGATGTACGCTAACGTGATTGAAAGTAGATGACCGGATCATCAGGTTTTGAGTTTTTCGACCGTCGTAATCGAGAATTACTTCTCGACGGTTCGCAATTACGAAGTGATGACATCACGCGAACAGCTCGAAAACCCAAGTAGGCTTGTACTATTTATCAGCTAATAGCCGATTTTCGATAGTGTGATATCAATATGAAGTTAATTAAATTGACACCATGTTTCAAAAATTGATAAGGAACTTGATGTAATAGCGATCTGGACACACCCAAAAGTTTATCTATATGATAATATATAAAAGACTAGAGCTGTGTTCGCGACTCTACCTGCATGGAATAGTTTTTGGGCATTATCTTATTTATTTTTGCAAAAACCTTAGCTTTTTTCCACGACGTCGGCCGCCCCCTGTTGTTTCGTGCGAGTTACTTATGAAAGATTGACATATATTGTCGCGTTATTTATTTAGATCATTTTCTGGTTTCTTGAACCGTTTTGACATCGCATGCAAAATAATTATTAAAAATTTTCCCGTATTTTTCACATTTCCTTCTGTTTCTTCGCTCCTATTAGCCGCAACATGACGTTTATAACGTAAAGCCTTCCTCGATTAAAATAAAAAACTAACGCTCTACGAGTATTTCTATTCGGACCAAACAAACAAACTTGTCAGCTTTATAATATTAATATACATTTAAATAAAACACTTCAACGTCTTCCCGTGACCACGGCTGACGGCTTGCAAAGCATCCGAAACGTCGGGCCGAAGTTAAAAATCATTTTCAAATAAGTTCAACTAATATATCGCGTTTCAAACCGTTAAAGTGTATTATTTAAATGTGTACTACTCGAGTAAACTAAAGACAGTATTTAATTAATATACATTTTATATTGTTGTTATATAATTATTCCATAAAGAATGTGTCAAACACGATTGATCGTAAAAAAATCTTTATGACTGACCTAAGAAGGCATAATTTGACAGTTAATGTATGTCTTCGTGGATATAGTGGTCCTAGAATTCTTGTTGTCTCTAAGTAAAATCAGTGAGCAGCAAATGGAGCAGACATTAATGTGTGTCTGCTCAATTTGTGTACCCACTACACACGACTGTGTATACAATTGCTAAAACATGATTTAATCACATTAAAATCGTTTTATATTAGGTCGAATAAAATTTAGCATCTGTCCAAATACGGAAAACAATATGACGTCTCTAGGTGTGAATTGTGAGACTTTGCACCGCTTATTGTTTATCGATAAAGATGACTGTCAGCATTCTATTTTTATCGACTGTGTTTAACGTATTCTTTCAAAAGGCACCTATTTTGATCTTATGATGTCAATATCTTAGATAACGAGTCGTTAAACCGATAACATTGAAGATAAGTAGGTATTACAATATTAAAAAAAAGTTTTATTGAAACGCCTGAAGTACACCAAGGCTGAAAATCAGTCTGATATTGTCTAAGTACCACTAGTTTTTATTAAAGGTAAAAAGAAATTTTATACTTATGTGACCAATAAACTGATAATAAAATAATATTCGGGGGTAGTTAATTTTTTTGGCCGTACGAGGTCTACGCGCGCTGTTAGACGATTTTGGGTGCCACTTGATCGTTGGCTTCGCTCAGTTTTTTATTTATACTGCCAATACTGTCTATAGTTTACGCGAGTAGTACACATTTAAATAAAACACTTTAACGGTTTAAAACGCGATATATATTAGTTAAACTTATTTGAAACATATTTTTAACTACGGCCCCACGTTTCGGAAGCTTATTTTTGCAGTTTTCTGTATTTGTAAAATATTAAGGGTTAAAAATAATGACCGTAAAAACTTGCTTGGTTGGAAAGTTCGAAATTAATGCTTGAAGGTATTTTTAAGTTAAACTTACCACCCCTAACTAATAATACGAAAAAATAGAATAGCTAAATCTTTTTTACTAACGGAATAAACAATTTAACATTTTGACCCGGTTTTATAAAAAAGCACCGTTTCGTACCTTTATCACCTCATCTTGCCTTCTTGACCAATTAAAATAATATAAATATATATAAGGTACGCTTAATTGATTATAATAACAGTTTAAAAACTTGTTTTCTTTGTTTGCAGATGTGCAGTGCGGTGTAAAGTGTGGTGAACAATGTTACAGTGATGTGATCTGACAATAACGATAAAATGGGATGGCGGGCAGTGCTAGTTTTGCTATCGATTGCGGGCGTAGCACGCTCCCAAAATTGTAGAGGCGAGGAACCGAAGCCGAGACCTTGCGAGAACGTTTGTGATGAAAATGGCAACTGCAGAATACGTGCAGCAATGCTCCTGCCCAAGAACACAACATTCTATGCGTCTTTGCCCGTGGTGAGTTAATGAATACACTTTTAACGGTTTAAAACATAATATATATTATCTGTGTCATCGATTAGATTAGTGAAAAATACAACTAGGTATATTTATTTCTCTTTTAAGATAGAATAGAAATGCGTTTTTCTTTTAGAAATTATACAAATTCTCAATTAAACTTATTATATCAATCATATTATACTTAGAATTGTATTTAAATTAAAATACAATGATATAGGTATCTCTGAAGGGAGTCCACTCAGATACGTTGGGACTATTGTTCCAACACTGATATTTTATGGTCCCATCATACTCCTGGTTAACACAAGCGACACTGTTTGAATTTTTTTCTGTAATACGTAAAAACACTTTACAGAATTTTCTTAACAATATTGGGTTTCTCTTCAGTTTATATCGCTCAATTTTATAAACAGACATTTAAATACTGTCTATAGTTTACGCGAGTAGTACACATTTAAATAAAACACTTTAACGGCTTAAAACGCGATATATTAGTTAAACTTATTTGAAAATGATTTTTAACTTCGGCCCGACGTTTCGGTTGCTTTGCAGCAGCCGTGGTCACGGCCGTGGTCGTTTAAATCAAATTGTCTATATTATTACGGCACAATTACACAATAGTGTCTTGTTTCGATACATATAATTTTCTTTGGTTGTTTCACTTTCCTTGGTATTGAGAAATGATACCAAATTGAAAATCTATTTAAATTCATTTTTTTTTAAATTCCGGGTACAGTTTTGAATTAAAACGATATGTATTGTGATAGTTTTAGCTTTGTTTCGTTAGGAAATTGCAGCTTCAATCGTATCTGCTCTTGATAGAATATACAAACAGACCGTTTCGGCTTTGTTTGTTCAAGCTACGTTGATTTAAGTGGAAATGCTTTAATTGCAATGTTTTGGAGTGGACCTTTTTGTCTTGCTAGTGGTAAGAATGTAAGATTTTTCAATATGAGGCGATAAGAATGCAATATACATTTGAGTGAAATGGCAGGACACGTAGTTAAATGAATTAGGATTAAAGCTACATTGGGGGTACATCTGTTAGGGCTTCATGTATTTTAATTAAATAGATATAAATATGTAAACTCTGCACACATGGGAGCCAAATATCACGTTCCAATAATGATATTAAAGATGTCATAAAATAATATAAATTCTCAATAATAAGTTAATCTTAATAATTAAAATCTGTTTAAAAATAAATAAATAAAATTACATTTGCCTGCTTACTTCATTTGTTTTTACCCTTGATTTAATTTTAATAAAGTTAGTAAGTATATTGCGTGGTAAGTTTATAATAATTAACTAAATGTAAAGTTTAAATAGGACATTCATTAATAAATCCCGTACAGTACATTTTAAATAAAGCACTTTAAACGGTTTGAAATGCTAAATATGTCAGTTGATTGATATTTTTCGCGGTTTAAACCGTTAAATGTGTACTACACGTGTAAGCTACACTTAGTACAGTACATCTCTTAATTACAGAGAGTAAGTAATAATATTAAATTGAATTCTGGTACAGTGAGTACGTTCAGTAAGACAAACTTGAATACGTATCACTGTTTTTGACATCGCAACAATCGATTCGATTTAGCATTGTTTTAACGTTGACTTTATTCCATTTAAACAACTTTTTTGCTAAAACTCGCGGAAAACTCGTTTAAATTGTTACACCAGAATAAATTTTTGAAGCTTTGGCAGAATTTGGAAATAACATTTTCCGTATTGTTTCGTAAACAAACACGTGTTATGTAACAATCATTATTATATTCAGTCAAGTGGGACTACTTAGCTTCTAGCGTTGGTCTAGTGAAGGATTCGAATTTCGCTCGTGAGGATGAGAATCGATGCCCATTGCAGCAAAATTATTTGCTGTCTACATGCTGAAGAACTAATAAAACCTACTACGAAATGTCTGTAGTTTACGCGAGTAGTACACATTTAAATAAAACGCTTATACTGCGTTTAAAATGCGAAATTTATCGGTATATAGTGTAAAACAGTTTATGCGTATACTCCCGAGTTTCGTGTACCAGAGACTGTTGTGTATAACAGTTTGGAAAGTATGCGTGAATGTGTATGTGAAAGTGAAAAAAGTTTAAGAGGGAGGCGAGGTAACCAACCCAATGAGTGCTGTTGTGCACCTGATTTATTTCCTATCAATGTTGTTATAATATAATTTACAAGAAAGTGGGAAAGTAGGATGCTTACTAAGCTAACCTTGTAATATTTGCTTTTAATATAAACGCTTGAGTGTACAAACATTGACATAGATTTAGATTTATGCTAGCTATACTATAAAATAATATTATAATAAAAATACAGCAAATTTGTACGGGCGTTTGCCCGTACACGGTAATTCGTAGCCGTAGTTAAATTTATACTAATATATAAAGCGGAAGAGTTTGTTTAGTTTATTGTTTGTATGTTTGAACGCGCTAATCTCAGGAGCTACTGGTTCCATTTGAAAATTTATTTTTGTTAGTTAGATCATTTATCGAGGAAGGCTATATGGGCTTTAGCACATCGCGATGTGACTAATAGGAGAAAGAAACAGTGGGTAATGTGGAAAAAACGGGGAATTCATCATTATGGATTTCCGAGGCGAAAATATGTATAATAGAATGATTACTCTTTAAACGATCTATAAACATGTCCGCGTTATATGTCCATCTTTGAAGATTAACTTGCAAGAACGCCCGGATGCGGACGACGTCGAGGGTAACAGCTAGTTAAAAATAAGTTTAGTAATACATTTCGCGTTTTATACCGTACGTTATACGTTAAAAGTGTTTTATTAAGAAGTTATAATCTTTTAATAGTTTAATGCTTCTATGGGTCTTCCAGTCGGCGTTTCAGTGTTTTATTTAAATGTGTATGACTTAAATGAACTAAAGACAACATGTCAACTTACTTACTTGGAAATAAACAGAAAATATATATTTATATTATTATATAAATATATTTTTTATATATGAAGAAAAGGCAATTGAAATATTCTGACAAAAATCGAGAAATTTTTAAAAGGAAAATAATTCAGTAACGCCTATCTAATGACTCGTTTACCATAATTTTTCTCGCTTTCTCAAATATTTACAAGAAGATGAATATTTTATGAAATTCAGAGTTGGATCAAATACCTTGACCCTCTTGAGCGATAATTAATTTTGTAATTGATTTCGTAACTATTTTGATTGGTGATGATATAAGCAGGTTTGATCGATTGTTCGTTATTGCAGTATTTCGTACGTAATGATATGCTTTGTGTATGTATAAAACAATTTTTAAGCATAATATAAAAATAAAACGTTCAATGCGTTGGTCAGTTGGACTATTGGACAAAGGAAGATAACGTTAAGTTTACGCGAGTCACATTTAAATAAAACAATTGGAACTATTTAAAACGCGCAATATATTAGTTAACTTATTTACAATTTAACTACGGGTGGGCGTTCACATGCTTTGCAGCAGCCGTGGTCACGGGGGACTGAAGATGGAGGGTGTCCCTATTGTCAAAGTCATATCAATTACGCCCTCGCGAACTGTTTGGCCCTAGTTGGCTTCGTGATAGATTTGAACCGTTAAAAGTATTTTACTTAAAATTAAATATAGTCGATAATTGTTTTTTCATTGTTAAAGATGTCTTATGTATTAAATATAATGTAACAATAGGGATTAATTTATTTACTTTTTACTGATTTAGGTTTGTAAAAAAAATTTCAATATTACAAACGCTTTAATATACAATAAAATATTTAATTTTATTTTATATAAAAACCAGCTAAATAAATATCAAATCTTTGTCTTATCCTCTAACTCTTAGAACGAGGATATCTATAACCGTGTCGCGGGAAAAGACGGTTCAGTATATAAATAATTTATAAGACAAACTCAAACTAGTTATGGCACTTGCCATTGTGGAAACAGACATGCCCCAGGGGCAGGACCGTCTCAATAATTTCCCGGAAATTATTCCAAAAGCATGGACTTCAATCGTTCACTTAATTTTAATTGCAATGCAAAGACATCTAAAAGCTCTTTCTTATCTATCTAATATATAAAGCTAAAGAGTTTGTTTGTTTGAACGCGCTAATCTCGGGAACTACTGGTTCGAATTGAAAAATTCTTATTGTGTTGGTTTGGCATTTCTCGAGCATTTTTAATTTTGTGCTGCGAATAATAGGAGCGAAAAACAGCGAGAAATGTGCAATAAACGGGGAAAATTATAAATCACTGTGGGTTTCCGATTTGTTCACTGCAAAAACGGTTCAAGACCCACAAAAGATATATATGAAAAAATTATTCCTCTTTAAATGATCAAAAAAAATGTCTCAGAACTATTTGTCTAATCTTGTAAGATTAACTTGCCAGACAGAAGGGACGCGACCGACTTTGTGGGTAATCGCTTATATTTATAAAGATGGACTACTACTAACTATTCTACGTGGACGAAGTCGCTGATACAGCTAGTGTTTTTATAGTTAGTAAGCGAACAATTACAAAATAATAATACATATATTGTTCTACAAGTAACTTTTACTTGAATTACAACGTCGCGAAAACAATCCCGCACAATTAATTCTTTGGAACTTTATAATCGTCGTGTAATTGTTGACTGGCGAACGATTCCCCGCTTGTCAATTAACGTAACGACGTATAAGTTACTCTTTCAAAGATTCGAAACATGTTCATCAATTAGCAACTTTTCCTTACATTCCAGTTATGACTAGTAGATTCCCATAACTTTGGGCACGTGGAAAGTTTTTTACGTTAGAGAGGAAAATACTAAATACTAATTGAATTGAGACGTACGTATATGGTCCATAACATATATATAAAAAAACTAATCTGCAATAATATATATATATATATATATATATATTATGTTCTTTTTTTCAGTCTCCCATGCTATATTTTGTATCCCTGATGTTGCCTGGACTATGGAAATTTAATAAAATTATTTTAACTAAAGTTTAATCGAGTAGTTTACTTGATCGGGGATAACAAATGCCGACGGCTGCCGATCGGAAACGTCGTGTCGTTAAAATTAATTAAAATAAGCTCATATCATTCGCGTTTTAAACCGTTAAAAGTTTTTTATTTGAAAATTATCTTAATTTAGGATACAGACACTGATCTACAAGCCTATAAATAGAATAGAGTAGAGATCGGACACAATTATACGTCAGCCCGTAAATACAGAAATAAATAATATGTTCCTTTGTTTCTGACTCCAGGTTCAACCAGTCTTCGACCTGGCCATCCAATCGCAGGCTGTCCAAGCGGCATTTCCGCCCTGGCTAAAGTTTGAGTGGATGACGTATGACGTCACGGACTGCGATGCAGCATACGCTGTCATTTCTGCTATAGATGCTTACAACGACTGTGCGCATGTGTTCTTTGGGCCTGCCTGTGACTTTGCTCTTGGTATGTTTATTTTATTTATAGTACTTAACATAAAATCAAAGCAAGATAATCTAATACACACTTTCGTTGCACTAAAAAATCTTATTGAATTCTGTTCATCTATACTAATATTATAAAGCTGAAGAGAAATAAATATGATGCCAAAAATATCTATTCCTATATTCCCACAGTTATTTTTCTTTCTGTCTTTTAAATCTCTCAATTATACATATAACTATTAACGGAGAATCTTGCTCTACATTGAGCAGGCACAATTCTGTGTCTGTCTTATAGCCCGATTTTATTTACAAGAAGGAAACTGATCAGACATGTGTGTTTCCACAATGATATAATGCTTCTTAATGTGGTATTAATTTCTAAATCAAATTTTAATGTTAGCAACATCGCTTATTGTTAGACCTCCCCTAATATTTAACTCACCATAGTTGCTTTGTGAATTACTGTTGTTTACATTATTCGTGTTTTAAATCAACTCAATTTAAGCTGTAGTTTGAGTAGAAAGTTTGTAAAATCAAAGGTAGTCTGCATTTATATTACTGCCACATATCAATGACTAACTTATTTCTAGTTATTTTTATTATAGGTGGAAGAGTCCAACCATATAAAATCTCAACGAGATTTACTGTCCACTTACTTTGCCTTTCGTCATTTGAAAATCCTCAGATCGAGACTGAAACGCAATTAATCTTCTCGGCTGTTTTTCGACTGTGGTTCACGACCCGGACGGAATCACGATATTCTTGCCACCCATTTAATATGCAGATTTCCAGATTAAATCCCACATGCTTCAGACAGTTATAAATTCATTAGAAATGTTGGACCTCGTGGGAATCGAACCTATGGCTCGTTGGTAGTTAGCTATTGCTATCATTAGACTAACGAGTCTGTAAACTAAAAATACCTCTAAAAACGCTATTATAACAACGACGATGGTCAAGTAATGCATTTACAAGCTGGCCTTTGAATATCGTGTTTGCCACATGTAGGAACTAGACACCGTTCTATAATGGAAAGCTTTTCACTCCCAACTACTCTCTACTTGAAGCTGAGGTGTGATATTTTGTTTCATTAAAAGCTCTATGACAGCGAAGTAGACCAGACGAGTATTAAGTTGATTATTTTTCTACTAATATTATTGGTTTTATGTCTTACTAGCTGTGTCACGCCGGAGGATAGATATTTCGGGCATCACAATCTGTTTGCAAACTTCCTGTTCAATTGTATAAAATTGCGTTGTCTGCGTCAATCAATATAAGTCATCTTCTTAATCAACTTAAAAGTTAGACATATACTGGTTGCGGACATCATTCTTTCATCTATATTTTTGGGTATCTTGCACCGTTTTCGCACCCTACGCATCGGCAACCCAAAAAAAAAATAATTTTCTCCGATCTTTCCACATTTCCCGCTGTTACTTCGCTTCCATTGTCACAACATTTTTTTATCCTATAACCTTCCTCGATGAATGCTCTAACCAACACAAAATGATTTTTTCTATTCAAACCAGTCATTTCTGGGATTAGTGTTCAAACAAACTAAAAAACTTTCAAACAAACTCTTCAGCTGTATATATTAGTATAGATAGATATACCTTAATTTGAAAATAATTACTGAAGTAACGAAGGGATAGAAAACAATTTATCTTGGATTACTTTCGAAAGAAAGTGTAACGGTTACAACGTGAAAGTCGAGAGAAACGTTTATAAGGGCTAAAGCCGGTGAACCGATTAGCGAGTGTCTAAAACAGGCTATACCAATTAACTTATAATTAATTTATAGTAAGGGAAACACGTTTGGAGTATGAAAAAAGACCAGGTATAAACCGAAATAGATCGACAGCACATTTTGTTTACGTGTTATATAGTAGAGGCGTTTCACCTTCCATTCTGTGTTACCCATCTTTGCCTCCAATGTGTGTTAGCCTATTATTAATAGGCGGTGCTTTTCTAACGAAAAGCGAGCCTTTGATAATTGTTGCTTTGTTACATGTAGAGTTACAATTTATGTAAATTAAATTAATTCAAATTCTAATAAACTGTTTTCATGTCAGACTAAGTTGAGTAGGCCATTATACAGATAATAAGCTGGTTGCGAAATGTTTTCAGTAAGATTCACTCTGTTATATAAGATTCGCAATTTCAGTTGTCTGTAACTTTATTTATGTCTTGTTATTTCCTTTTTTCTCTTTTTCCTCTATTCCTGAGATTCTGACAAAGAAAATAAACTTGTATAATTAAGACAATTTCATAAAGTTGTAAAATATTTATAAGTTAAGTTGTCTTTAAACATTGGTTACATTCGTTAGATATAGGTAAAAATCCCATTTTTCTACGTGATATATATATACAAAAAGAACGTCTGGTTCAGTTTATCTTCAGTAAAAAAAGAGGTTTTTGCATACGAAGCGTGTTCAGTGTTACCATTTTCTTCTTGCTTGGCCTGGATTCGAATTTGTGACCTAGCTCACTATGTATCATTAGTACTATCAATTAAAAGACATGGTAATATTATTAAGAAAAAATTAAAAGCGACTCATTATTTTTTAGTTATGACACACAATAACAAAATAAGGCGTTTCAAATATCAAAGCTCCGTTTCACGAGGATTTGCAATTAAAAGGCAACACGCTCAGTGATTCAAGTTAGTCGGTGATAAATGATACAACCCTCCTCAAAATCTTGCAAATTACTTTAGGATTACGTACACTCAACACTTCGTACTATTTAGTCTTAAATAAATATGGATAGAGGTTTAAATATATACTCGTAGGTTAAATTGTAGACAGACAAAATTCTAAATAACGTTTTGTTTAAATTAAACTCTTTAACGACTTAAATATTCTAGATATAACGTTTTGTTTGAAAATTATTTTCAACTACAACCCCCGGGGTGTTCGGGTGCTTTGGGAGCCCCGGGGGCCGGGGGGACCCCCCAAAGCATCCGAAAAGTCGGGCCGTATATAAAAAAATAATATAACAAACGAGTTTAACTAAAATATATCGCGTTTTAAACCGTTAAAGTGTTTAATTTAAATGTGTACTACTCGCGTAACCTACAGACAGTGTTTAGTATAATAAATTTTAAATTTACCAATTTTAAGTATCTTGTTTCTAATATAAACGTAAAAAAGTCGAACATTATTATCGTATAACATATACGAAATACAATATACAACTTGGAACAGGTCTCCTCTTCTTATACAAAAGAGTTTTAAAGCTGAGACCCACCACGCTGTTTTAGTGGCTTCAACGACTGGTACGACAAATTTATCAGTCTAAACTGGCTCCAATGACTTCCTGTCTAAGATACGGTGGCGATGACAGCACCAACATTAGTTGTCTTAAAGCAATTCCGTATTACGTAGTAAAAGTCAAAGTTTATCCCTTTCACTATATCAAATTAGGTCTGGAATATGCAAATTGTTGCTCGTGACTTGAGTGTCAGGCGACAAGTCGCTAACACTCGAGCGGCGAATCATTGATGGCACAATCGGCGTAAACATTATTAAATTGGGTTAAGGGTTGAGTCAAGGACCACGAATCTTATTGCTTTTTGACAAGACTAAATCCAATCATTTATTCCACACACAAAAATACAAAGGATAATACAAAAATATATTAAAATAGATGTATGTGGAGAGACACCACTCAGATTTTGTTGTACCTGGAAGTACCAAGTTTCAGTGTTGCCCTACGCTTGTGCTTGACTACGATGTATATAAACGAAAGTAGACTCGTTACGCAAAATTTTTGATAACAATAATTTACTGTGCGTTGGTTCAAATCCGACCGCGTCTAACATTTGTCTAAATCAAATTCCCTGGGAAAAAAAAAGTAGGGGCTTGTTGTTGTAACGATACAATGTATGGCTAACAATCATCGGGTATCATCCCCACCGGATGCGTCTGGGTTACGAATCATCGTTCACTGATGAAGAAGAACTGAAATTTAATCGCGTTTTGGATTCACTCTGTGGATTTCTCAATATCCAAAGCCAAAATAGGTTATACTAATGTCTTAAAGCTCTATAATCCTTATTGAAACCTCGTACCAAGTAACTTCCATTTTGTTATACGTACCTCATTCGCTGTCAATTCAGGTGTTCTGATATCATGAATATATCAGTCTCTATATTCATAAATCTTTATTCCCGTCAAAACAATCGCGTAGCGACACAGATAATATTGAAAGATCGAATACATTATTGAGTCTGTGTTTATTTTTTATTGCAATTAAATGAACAGTTAAAGGAGCTGAAGAGTTTCGGAACTACAGGTTTGTATTGGAAAATCATTTACCGTGGAAGGCTATAAAAAGTCGGCCTTGCAACCAATAGGGATCACGAAACAAGAGGAAGATGTGGAAAAAAGCGGGTAAAATTGTTCATCTTTCATGGCATTCGTTTTGCGTGCTGCGGAAGCGGTTCAAGACACCAAACATATATGTATAAAATAATTAATCTTCTTTATAGTATCTAAAAATATCCGAAACCGTATACGTCTATCTTTTAAGATAAAATTACAACCATTTTTATGATTATCAAATTGAGTTAAAATAGTTCATATGACAAATAAAGCTAGCTAGCTTGTTTGTAGTGTTAAGTCGAAACGGTTTAACGTTTCAAACAAGGCCAGAATTAATAAAATCGATCGATAAATCAGACACACAATTGTGTTCACCCCTTGTCCCACAGTGGACTTTCTTGTTTAATTTTTTGGATATATTATTCAGTATAACTGACCTATTGTTGAATAAAACACTTTAACGATTTAAAAAATATTAGTTAAACTTATTTGAAAAAAGATTTTTAACGTGACTGACGTTTCGGATGCTTTGCAGCAGCCGTGGTGACGGGGAGACTAAATATGGAAGGGTGTCTCTGACGTCAAAGAGTAATGTACAAAGTAGACTAATATATATCGCGTTTTGAACCGTTAAACATTTTTTTATGTGTACTACTCGCGTTCTACAGACCTGATTAAATTTTACAAAAGTGTAGCA